CTGCTGAAATAGGGATGCTGAAATCCCATTGAGGTGAATGGTATTTGAGCAGCTGAACTGTGCCCTGGATTGCAAGCCAAGAGATGTCATTAGTTCTTCGCAGGACCCAGAAATAGAAACACTTCCATTCAGCCATCAATATTGCATAAGGAGAAGCTGGTCCTTCCAGACAGAAGGCGGGATCACTTGATCTTTGTCTCTTTCTCCCTTTGCATCAAATGCAGGGCCTACAAATATATTTATTTCCTTTGAGTTTAAGACCCAGTAAGTGAAAGTGCTGTTAAAAGCAGTATAGCCAGACAAGAACTTCTTGTGATGTTCATCAGAGACAGCCAAAGTGGCTCCCTGTGGCTATTTTGGACTACAGCTCCCATCATCCCTATCTCTTGGTTGGGGTTGATCAGAGTTGTAGTCCAACAATATATGGCAAATGGCCTGCCTGTACAAGATCCCTGGGTTGGTTCATTTGCCATTTGTATCATACTAAGGCTGTGTACACATGACTGGTTTAGACACAGCTGGGTTGTTCTGTTTCTCAATTCAGGTCAAAACTGAGTGGGGGGGGGATCACAACAACATTTCGTAAGAAACAACAGGACATATGCATAAAGTCATGTGTGTACTGTTTGCCAAACCAGCATTGGATGCAGAATAAATAGGAGTGGGTACAAAGCCTAAATTCATATATTCCAGAGGGAAGGTAAGCGTGTTAAGTTTCAATCTACTAGGAGTAACTGAGTCAGGCTTCCTTCTAAGTATGCATGTGTAGGATTGCACAGTTAGTTACAGCAGCAGGGCTGGGCCAAGACATTTTGCTGCCTTGGTATCCTTCCCATTTCCATATAAAAAATACAACCAGGGGGGCAGCTGAATCTGATTTCAACTCTGAGGCAACACACTTGCTTAGACTGTGCAGGGGAGGCAAGCTTGGGACACTCAGGGGATATGGTTGGCCCAGTGTTACCTCCCACCCTCAGCTTCTGGGGCCTAAGGCAGCTGCCCCACTCTGCCTAATAGTAGGACCAGCATGCACAGCAGCCACCTTAAAAAAGAAGAAGACAGATTTATCCTGGCGAAAAGTTTGGTGGACTAGGGCCTGCCTCATTTCCTAAGGAAGAATCCTGTAGCACCTTAAAGAGCAGCAAATTTATAATGGCGTAGACTTGGGTGAACGACTTCTCTTTAATTAAGGTGCTGCAGGACTCTGGAGGTTTTGCAATAGCGGAAGCACAGCCTCTGGAAGCATGAACTTAATTCAAGCACCACTTGAAGTGGGTACTAATCCACAAAAGTCTTACGTCACAATAAAACTGTTCGTCTTTAGGATGCCACGGGTCTCTTCTTTCTGGATCTCGGTGGAAAATGGACACAGTCACACGCACAGCAGCTGGACCCCAGAAGACTCCTGAACGGTCGCGTAGAATAATGCAGAAACCACGGTTCTTTATCGCAGGGAAGTCCAACAGAGGGCGCTATGCCCTTTAGTTTTGCTAAGGGGAAAACCGGAGCCGGGAAGAGTGCAAGCGGATTATTTTGGTTGCTCCACGTAATTAATTCCCCCAACGCACACACGCGCTCCACAAAGTGCTGGTGGCAACGCCATTCAAAACAATGTATATCCGATATATATAGAATTGAGGCAGTCAAACTAGTGATAGGCATCTGCTTTTCTTTTTGATCGCCGATCATGAAGACCATGCCAATAATTATATCTTGACGACACCAAGACTACACTATAGGGGCAAGGAAGCAATGGGTTTTGGGGAGGGTGGCGGTGGGGGAAATCCATGTCTTACGTGACTTTCATTTGAGAACGATCTCGATAAGAGGAAGAGAGAGCCACGGTTTCTCAGAAGCAGCAGCCACTTAGGCAAATCGGACTTATAAAGAGATCTATTCTGATCTGTCCTGTGGTTATTCATACAGCTACCGACTTCCACGGCGTGTGACTTTGCCGAGTTACATAAGCAAACAAACAAAAAGGGGGTGAGTGGGAGGAGGAACAACAATAGCCACCTCCTTCTCCCAGCAATGACATTAATAGGAACTTCTATTTCATTACATTTTTCATATCTTTTCAGCCAACTATAATGCTCTCGGTGAGTGGATGTGCGTCTAGATATATTTCACAGGTCATCTTCGAAGTCTATAAAGACCAATCTTCATTTTCTGCGAGACCCAGATGTGACACTGGTCAAAAGCTGGATTTCACCCAGGGTGGTTTCTTTCTCCTTAGAGGCACCTCGGCAGCATCTTCATGTTTGCCCGGTTTTTTTGAAGGCATCTCAGATAAGCCAAGCCAACACTGTTCTAGAGCGGGTGTCGATAAAGTTTTAACGCGGATTTCTGTCTGAAAGCAATGACGTGATCCATGATGCTTGTCCTCTTCCCCTGTAGTAGTAGTAGTAGTAATAATAATAACAACAATAATAATAGTGTGAAACATTCGGAAAATGTGTCTTTAATTTTAGGAAAGATTCGTAGAAGGGCAATATGGGTATGGGGAAGGGGTCCGTGACTCCAAAAAGAAAGAAAGAAAGAAAGAAAGAAAGAAAGAAAGAAAGAAAGAAAGAAAGAAAGAAGAATTTGCAAAACTGGTAGGTAGGATGTGGCAGGGATATCTGGAAAAATATGGGAAGCAAAACGAACTATTGTAGCTGAATGGATTTTTTTTTCAGTTGCAAAGTAGTGACTTTGATTAGATTCCCACGATCGCTTCCTTCGATTTCTTCGTGTCAACAGCAAAACATAGATGTGTGCAGGGATGCCAAAGTATTTTTAAGTTCAGGGTTTTCTTAAGAAAAAAAAAGGGGGGGGATTTGCTTCTGTTCGATCTACGTTATAAGCACCCTTCACATTTCTTACCAAATTTGTTCCCCCCAGAATTTTTTTTACCAAAAAAGCAACAAACCTAACTGCAAAAAAGAAAAAATAAATTCAAACAAGGCGCATTAGAGGAGAGTGTGTCCGGCGTGTGAATGTAGAAAGCATTGTGTCCTCCACATATGTTTTATTCTGTCCCAGTTTTTTTAAAAAAACAACATTTTGGCAAGTAGCAGGCAACCTCTTTTTTTAGGTGAAACCTCCAAAACTACCTGAGCATAGTTGTGCGGCGTTCTTGCTTTAAATGTACATTACCTATATTTAGGAAACCATATTCAGTCTTTAACAAGGTGATCCTACAATGTATATTCAGAAGCAAACCCAGCTAAGTTCAAAGGAATAGGATTGCCCTAAATCTATTTTGCTTAAACATGAGAGAGTTCAGAGGATGCAGAAAGCAACCTAATGAGAGACAGACCGGTTTTACATGAATGAAAAACCTCTTCGCAGAATATTCACAACGAGCAATAGCTTTAGGCTCTTAGACTTATCCTCGCTCCTAAACATATTTGACTCACCGGAACCAATGGGGCTTAAGTTCTAGAGTATATTATTATTATTATTATTATTATTATTATTATTATTATTATTATTATTTATTATTATTGTTGTTGTTGTTGTTGTTGTTGTTGTTGTTGTTGTTATTATTATTATTATTATTATTATTATTATTATTACTATTGATAGGTGCATCTGTGGCCTTTTGGCGTCGTGGCGAGGAACACTTTGCTTTCACCCCGTTCCTGTTCATCTGGTCTTTGGCTGCTAGTGACGTTTGGTTTGGCAACAATTATCTGTCTTGATCTATAGAGAGAACAGTCTATATCTATTTGGATCCGGTTCTCCATTTATCTTTATTTCTCTCTCGGGAAATAGCTCTGTGGAGAAGCTTTGAATCTGACACGTCAATTGCGAGCGCCTTCTCCAAAAGGCCAGCATTTTTTATTTTTTTATTTCGGTTTTATTTCGGTTTTGAAGTGATCGAGCTATGGATCCCCTGGGGAAAGGTCACATCCCACGTCGAAGCTTTTGTGGGGGGGAGATGGGATCGGTGGTGTGGTGCTGATGGTGTTGGGGTACTTTTCCACCCCGAGGGCTCACCCCGGATGGGATGAAGCTGCTCTGGAGAAGGGCAGCGCCGGCTGCCCCGTTTTAGGCAAACGGGATTCGCTCCCGCAGCGCCGGGGAAGCGAACCAGAGCAAGGCTGGGTTTGGCTGCTGCTGTCGGTGTGTCGGAGGCGGCCAGCCGAGTCTCCCCCCGCCCTCCAATCCTTGGGGAAGCAACCCCAAGGAAAATCCCTGCCGCTGCCTCCTGCCCCATCCCTAACCCCATAGCGCAGAGGTGTCCAGGCTGGCTGGCAGGTTTGGCGTGCGACCCGCCTCCTGATCTTTCTTCCGGAGGGTCATGGGTAGGGGAGTTTGTACAGAGTGAGCAGTGTGTGTGTGTGTGTGTGTGTGTGTGTGTGTGTGTTGCAGGGGGGTCCTCACTTTGTGCGTCCTCTTCGCCCCTTCCTCGGCGCGGCGGTTCTTCAACCGAGCCAATACCCTTTTGTGCTAATAGCCCTGTCCTCATTTGCTGCCTAATTGGACTATATAAAGCCAATAAGAGGCGAGCTCTCGTAGCCTGGAGCCAAAGGACCAAATCGAAGGGGGGCGTGGAGGCAGCGAGAGATGGACGGGGCGGCGGCGGAGGCGGCGGGGAGAGGCGAGGGAGGGGGGTGCGCGCCGCCTGCCTCTCGCTTCTCTCCCTCTTCTCCCTCACTCACTCTGCTTTGCCCTGCCTAGTGGCAGTGGGGGAATCCGGGGGCCCAGCCGACGCCGCCTACGCCTTGACCGGCCCGAGGCCGCTTGCCACGCTCCGCGCCCCAGCGCCGCTACCGCCGCCCAGCGCCACCCCGCTGGGGTTGACATTTGGATTTCCGCGTTAGCATTCGGCGCCGGGTTGACGCAGAAGAAGCCGCAGCAGCAGCACCGGCAGGAGGAGGAGGAAGAGGAAGAGGAAGAGGAAGAGGAAGAGGAAGAGGAGGAGAAGCGGCCCCCACGGACTTCCAAGTCTCGCTGCCTGCCTGGCTGGAGGACCGGGACTCGTCCGGGTGTCGTGCGGCCCCCACCTCCACTTCATCCCTCTCCCCTTCTTTCCCCCTGCCGTCCTTCCCCCATGCCATCGGCCAACTCGGAGCCACTCCGGAGCGCAGTGTGAACGCCGTCCCGCGGACGTGGGCAACGTGGGAAGGATGCCCGAGACCGGACAGGACGCCCCCGGCAGCCAAGCGCAGCCGCCGCCTCCGCCGCAGCAGCAGCAGCCCCCTCCGTCGTCGCAACCCAAGGAGTCGCCGTTCTCCATCAAGAACTTGCTCAATGGGGACCACCCCAAGGCGTCTCCGAAGCAGCCCCGGGCGCTCTTCCCTCCGGCGGCCAAGGGGGCTCTGGAGGGGGCCGGCTTCGCCCTGTCGCAGATGGGTGACCTCGCCTTCCCGAGATTCGAGATCCCGGCGCAGAGATTTGCTTTGCCTGCTCACTACCTGGAGAGGTCCCCTGCCTGGTGGTATCCTTACAGTTTGACGCCCGCCGGAGGCCACCTGCCTAGGCCAGAAGGTACTGGAGATCAAAGTCCTCTCTCCATCTCTCTCCCTCTTCCCCTCCCCAGTCTATTCAGCACCCCACCCACCCATCCATTTCAGTAACCCATTCGAGCCAAAGGGGTCCAGGTCTCTTCCTGAAGGAAGCCCAAGTCTTTGTCACCAAGATGATTGGACTCCATCTCCATTGCTCCGTTGTGGTTTTCCTCGGTGGTCTCTGCTCTCCAGGGTCAGCCAGGTCTCCCCTTCCTCTCCCAAACAAGCTCTCCCCCGGGGCAAATAAAGCCTTCCAGGTGTGAGCTAGGGTTTCCCGTATCAGTGAGAAGTAGCGATGTTTCCTTAGTCATCACTGACTTGTAGGCACTCGCCAGAAGAACATTTATTTAGTTTTGTGGAGATCAAAGGCTGGCTTTCGTTTCCTCACCAAGAAACTATATGCACTGAACGGAGTCCCCCACTTTCATCCCTCTTTGCGCCCCATCTGTTACTCTCCTCTCCCCTCCAAGTTTGGTGCCACTCTAATTTCCACGGGATTTATTCAGAAACAAGAGGCATTTATCATACTGTATCTAAATATCTTCTCTCTGGTTCCGTCTCTCGTCCCAACCACACTTTCTTGGAAGGAAGTCCCATGAAATCCCCCACAGGACTTGCTTCCAAAGAAGTGTAGCTAGGATCCGACGAGGCTTACTCACAAGTAAATCAGCCTATCAGCTAACGGTGGGGATGTGCCTGAGAAGCAAGGAAAAGGCCATTTCAGGAAGTTCATTGACTTCCACGGTGCTCATGCTCAAGTTAGGAGCAGTTAGGATCGCAGCCTTTCGGTGGAGGAGCCCACGGCCGCAATCCTAAAAACTAAGAACTTGAAAGTCAGCTCCATACAGCTAAATGGGACTTGCTCTCCAGCCCATTGCAGGAAGAGGAGGGAGTCAGGGCTGCTGGGTGGAGGGCAGGAGGAAGTTCCACAGTGCTCAATGGGGCTTAGTCCTAAGAGAAGTGTCCTAAGAGGAATAAAAATGACTTATTCCCAAGCATACACGTATTGCAGATCTCCCTGTTGTCCTACTCAGAACAGACCCATTGAAACTAATGGACCTTAGTTATGGCCATTCATCTCAATGGATCTACTCTAATCATTCTGTTCTAAGAACTGCCATCATACGCATTTTTTCCTTTACCGAGCAGAGAAGTCCTATTAACTGAATCAAACATGCCAGGTCTATTTCTCGGAAGTGTCTCTGCAGAGTCACCCCGAAGAGGCAGCGTCCCAGCGTCCTCCTAGGTGCGTTTCCTCGGAAGTAAGCCCCAGCTGTGTCCCACTAGGCTTACTCCCTCGTGAGTTCAGTCACAAGCCCACTTTCCAGGGAGTGAGCTCCACTCCGCTCAGCAGGGAGGAGAGAGAGAGAAAGAGCTTGACAGTCGAGCAAGGCTGACGGGGGCCTCGCTGGCTGCTCGGATCTTGACTTTTGCTCTTTGTGTGTGTGTGTCTTGCTGTTCCTCTGCAGTTTCCGTGGACAAAGCCTTCCTCAGAGACTCCTCGCCGGCCTCGGTGGGCACAGACAGGGACTCCCCGGACGAGCCCTTGCTGAAGGCCGAGCGAGAGGCGAAGGAGCTGGACTCCAAGAGCCCCGACGAGATCATCTTGGAGGAGAGCGACTCGGAGGAGGTGAAGAAGGAGGAGAGCGGCGCCGAGGACTGGCCAAAGCGCGAGTCGGAGGCGGGCAGCCCGGAGAAGAAGCCTTGCCGCAAGAAGAAGACTCGCACCGTCTTCTCGCGCAGCCAGGTCTTCCAGCTGGAGTCCACCTTCGACATGAAGCGCTACCTGAGCAGCTCCGAGCGCGCCGGCCTGGCCGCCTCGCTCCACCTCACCGAGACTCAGGTCAAGATCTGGTTCCAGAACCGGCGCAACAAGTGGAAGCGGCAGCTGGCCGCCGAGCTAGAGGCGGCCAACCTCAGCCATGCCGCGGCGCAGCGCATTGTCCGGGTGCCCATCCTGTACCACGAGAGCGCCGGCGCCGACGGCGGGGGCAGCGGGGGGCGGGGGCGGAGGCGGCCCGACGGCGGCCAGCGCGCCTGTCAGCCAGCCCCTGCTCACCTTCCCCCACCCCGTCTACTACTCGCACCCCGTGGTCACCTCCGTGCCGCTCCTGCGGCCCGTCTGAGGACTGGGCCTAGCTCAGACGGACAGGGGACGAGTCAGGGAGGCAGGAGGAGAATGGAGCAGGGAGGGAGGGAGGGAAGGAAGGCATGAGAAGGGGTCATGGATGGATGGAAGGAGGGTGGCTTCTTTAAGAACCGCGTTGAGGGACAGCCACCCTCTCTTGCCTCTCGCAGCCCAGGCCTCCGGGACGAAGCGTCGCCCCCCATCACCAAGGACCAGCAGGAACCAAGCAAAGATTTGGCTGTGTAAGTAGCGCCCGGATGCTCTGCGCAACGCCTGGCGTGGAGAGACTCTTCCCCTTCGCGGTTCGCTCCTTCTACTTTTGGGTTGTTCAGGAGGAGGACAGAACGGTCGTGGTGAGAGCACCACAGAACTACAACCCGGGCTCTGTAGACGTAGAGAGTGGGGGCTGATGAGAGCGCTTGGCTTTGCTCTGCTTTAAGGTGGATTTGGCTATTTAAAAAATAATAATGGAGAAGCGTTGCGCAAAAGGAGATCACCCTCATGCACTGGTGGTGGTGGGGAGAAATCACGTGTCCAGATGGTGCCAAATGCTGGCGGGGAGAGGAGGGGGTGCTATGTTGCTTGGAAGCCTCCTGGCCTTATGGCCCTGGTCCACTTTTGAAAGGGTCTGTTGGTCCTAACTGCCCGAGTCTCCAGTTCTCTGGGATCTCTAAGGAGAAACGCGGCAAGCGCCACCGTGAACCATTTTTGACTTGATTATTTATGACACTCCTTATTTTATTCTGTTCCGGGTGCGTATATCTTTAGTTCTTTCTTTCTTTCCAGAATAATAATCATGATAATCATAATAAAAAAAGATGTTGTGGAGAGCTGTAGTTCTTTGCCTTCCCCGGTCCCCGTTTCTTCTTCAAAGCAGCAGCTCCTCTGGTTTATACCGCTGACCTGTGCAATATCGTACGATTCTGAAAGCACTATAGGGTGTATTTTTTGTGGGGGGAGTTGTAGGTGAGGAAATGTCGGGGTTTGGGGGGGGAGAAGTGCACAAATATATCGTGGGAGACAAAAAAGGGGGGGCGGACGAAAGGCAGCTGCTCCTGAACTCCAAACTTCACAAGAGGTCGAGGGTGTCGGGCGCTTTAAGTGATGGACAATCAGTCTCTTTAAAGACGAATTGTAACTTATTTGCTATTCTGTACAGCTTTCTTGTCAGTTTCAAGGAGGGCGCGTGGGGTTTTTCGCCTGAATGGGGTGGAATCTCGAATTCTTTCGTGTCAGTCTTTCTCACCTGTTGTCTGACAAATTATTTCCGGGCCTCCCCAGATTTATTTCCCTCCCCACCTTCTCCCTCTCTAGCAGGGATCAGTCCTATTTTTAAAATTTAAAGAAGAAGAAGAAAATATTGTTATAAGAATTCAGTGTCGTGATTGGAGGGAGGGGCGGGCTGAAACAAATAAAGAAAACCTGTTCATTACTGGTGACGATGGTGGTGTTTTGCTTGATTATTTTAGAAACGGAAGGAGGGGACTTTGGGAAAGGAGAGATAACAGGTGTCCTAAACCGTCTCGCTAGTGGGACGCAGGCAAGCCCGCCTCTCCAACTCCAAGGGATCGCTGAACCTGCAGAGGTAGACAGAGGAGTCTTTGTTCTTCCAAAAAAAAAAAAAGGCGAGGTGGGGGGAACGAGCCGGCTAGGTTTGCCTGCGCAGAGGAGACTTTTTCTAAAGCAGTTTTAAAAAAACAAAAACCCTCCATATAAGTCGAAAACGCCTGTTGCTGAGACTAGCAGGCGTTTTAGGGGCCTTGATTTATGGATAATCGGCTGCGCCTTCGAAGTCCTACCTGCGGGCTCAGGTAAACGTTTCTGCTCCAGATCATCCTTTCACAAACAAAACGACGCATTTTGGCTAAATTTACAGACCTTGTCGCTTTCGGTAGGAGAAAGAATCAGGAGACTGGGATAAAACAGAGAATCAGAGCAAAGGGGTTTTTTTTTGTTTAAGGATGAGAATAGATCGGTGGGTTGTGGGGCTGGGAGGGTGGGGAGAGGGATCTTTGTCCTACAGAGAACTCCTTTTAAAAATAAATAAATAGGGGAGACGCTTGTGCTTGCAAGAACCAATGCGCTCTACGTCTGGTTTCGGCCCTTCTCCGCTCTCTCTGGACTGTTCGGCGGTAGATAGCAGGCTGATGGCTTCACACGCCGCGAGCAACGGGTTAAAAAACCCCTAGCGTCACAGCTAGAGACGGAGAAAGGCAAGCAGAGGGGAGGATTGATTTGCACAGCCTTTTTGCGCGCTGAAGTGGGCAGCGCGCGCCGCTTGTTCCAACTGTGAATCGCCGCGTGGTCTCCTCCTCTCCTGCAGCTCAGCATTCGAACTCAGAACCCTGAGCCTTCGCCAGCATCAGATTGGTTGGCAGAAACTTCTAATCGGGAAAGACGTGCGCTTGGTCCTTTTTTACTTTTGGAGAGACTCCGACTCTGGAGCCTTTCTGGTGTGCCTGGAACTCTCCAAGCGCACGGGGCCGGGATTAGATTTCCAATCCGAGTGTATCTCTGCTGCAGAACTGCTCCAAAGCCGCAACACTCTGGGCCTGATTCAAGGCACCTTATACCCTAATGGAAGCCCCTTCCTAGTCCCACTTTGAGTCCTATTTCACTCCGGTTTGCCAATGTAAAATGTTTCTAAGGGACAAATCAGGCTGCTGGAGCTTTCCATTCAACTCCGAGAGAATGAAAATCATTGATGCTTACTACAGCTTTTTAATGAATTTGCTCTTCAGCAGTCCATCCAAGGGAGGGAGGGAGGAGGGAGGGAGGGAGGAGAGAGGAGAGAGAGAGAGAGAGAGAGAGAGAGAGAGAGAGAGAGAGAGAAGGTCATGGTTCTGTTGTTATTCACTCCAGAGAAAACTTACCCAGATAGTATTTTTCTGGGCGATTTTTGTTTTCTTTGTTCCATCTCTTGAGCTCAATTGGTACAGGGCGTGTGCTCTTCAATAGATCTTTGGGGCCCGCTTTGAGAGATAATATCGTTTTCCGTTTATAGAAAACTGTCGTGAATAATTCTGTGTGTGTATGTATGTATACAGTTGAGGCAAGGTTTCACCAGAAAAGAAAGAAACAAGAAGGAAGGAGAAGAGATAACCATTTATTTTCCTTTCGTTTGGGATTAAAACCTCTTGGCCTGTGTGATAAATGGAAAATAAACAGAAATGTAGAGTCAAAATACGATCTTCCTTGTGTCACCTGCAAACAAGCTGATGCCTTTGGGCTGTTTGCAATACTAACTTTGGGCCAAGCCACTAGCAATCCATTAAAAAGCCCTGTTGCAACAGCAAATATCTCCTTCCATTGGCGAACACCCTGCCGCAATGTTATCAAACGCCGAGAAAAATAACTTCTCTATTTGTGGTTAGTACCTAGAAAACGGTTCCTGGCTCACCCTGTCTTTACTCAATCGAGAAAGGACCAGTTGGAGGCGAGCGCAGCTTGTTGCCCCCCCCTTATTTCTTTATCTTTCTTTTATATGTTACACCTGCTTCTGTTGCCTGCAATTCCCCCTCCCCTCTCTGCCAAAGCGTTCCGGTTCAAAATTGCAACAGAGTCCATATCTATTGGCTGAGACGCGAGGGTTTCCCCACTAGCCTATGTGTCCAGGGGTCAAGGCCTTATAACGCAGCCTTCTACAACATGCCCCCCCCATAGGGCTGTGGGGGTTGTACAACGCAGGTTCGCCAGTGTGAGAGCAGGATGCTGGTCTGATCCAGCAGACTCTTTTTAAGAACATAAGGAGAGCCTTCTGCATCAGCCCAATGACCCGTCTAGTCCAGCATCCTATTCCCACAGGGGCCAACCAGAGATTTTGGAGTACAACTCCCAGCAGTTTCGGCTGGTGCTCATGGTGCGTTGTAGTCCAACAACAGCTGGAGGGCACCAGTTTGGCGAAAGCTGCTGCGATTTAACGCGAGGTGTCCTCAGACACTGCGATTAGGAACCTTTGGCTAGCTAGACAGTCAGTTGGTAGGGAGCAAGTCCTGATCCGCAGCCCACTTAATGACCCCAAATTTCTCCTTCATAAGACCAACGCACCCAATGCAGAAACCTGTAGTCCCCTCAAGCCGCTGACTTCAAAATCAAACTCCGGTGCGCAGTGAGGAAATGGAGGAGTGGACAGGTCTTGGGCGCCCCTACGCCTCTCATTCTAACCTCTTGTTGACCTGAGGTCCATTCTCTCTGAAGGACCCCAAGCAGGGGCTTCTCCTTCCTCCAGCCCTCTGAAGGAACCCGCTGGAAGGGAAGCTCAACTTCTTCAGGTCTGCCCCCTTCTCTCTCTCTCCCCGAGGCCCTTGCTTAAGTATAATTTCAGCTCCCTTCAAACGCAATCTGCAGCTCACTGAAATCAAGGTCCAAGGACCCAATTTTTAAAAAGGAGAAGAATAGATCCAGGATGGACTCCTCCAAGTCTTGCTTGAAAAAATAAAAGCATCTACATTTCATCAAGCCAGAGATGTTTTAGTAGCAAGTGGGAAACGGCCACCCAAGAGCAATTCCTGCGCGTCATTGCGCGCCAGCTGTAGGCGTTTGCGTGGAGAAGTCCGGCGCGCGCCTATAGACAAACTTCCTTCGGTCTGCAAAGTTTGCCTGAGTGCTCTGGGCTGTTGAAGGACCAGGGTTTTGATCTGGCGGTTAAGTAAGAGCCCTTGCTCACCCTCTCTTTCTAGGCCCGCACTTGGCCATCCCTAGCCAGGCCGCAAGGAACAGGCCTTCCCCGAGCCTCTGACCTGAGATCACATAGGCTGTGCTTGGAAATGTCAAACGTTTTATATGCAACGCGTGCGTTGAACTGGGGCTCCTTTATAGTGGACAGTAAAGAGGGCTTATTTCTCTTGTAAAAAACAATAGGTGGAAGTAGCCACTCAACCCCAATGGATTGTTGTACCTTTTATTTAAATAATAATAATGGTTCCAAACAAATCTCTTGGAAACCACCAAGGCAAGCCTGTTTGGTCTCAATTCAAAGGCAGTTGCTGCCATTTCTTAATCTGCAGCCACTCCACCGCCACTTCTCTTTATTGCCGAAATTGGACTCTGACAAATCTCTGCCTTTGTTTGTCATGCAAGAGAGGGAGAGTCTACTTTATCTTCCCCTGTTCCCTTCTGTCTCTCCTCTCCCCCCCCGCACCTTCGCCATTCCTTTCTTTAAAGCTCCAGTGAACAGGACTCGCTCGGATGTTTGTATTAGCAACATACATGTATTTCTTTTATTTAGGAGTAAATAGAGGCTTGCTGTGTATAGGCAACAGCAGGCACCAAGATATAAAACTTCCTCGGGACGTCAGATCTGGCGGGGGAAGAATTCAGCAGACTTGGCGGAGATTAAAACGCAGAGCACACGCCGCCTCCAGCAGCCAGCAGCTCTGTAGAGTTTAGCAGAAGAATTGAAAGAGGTAATTCGATTGAAACATCTTGCTCTGTGGGGAAGGGGTATTTTACACGTACCTTTTAAAAAAAAGTTTCTACCTCGTCCTTGGACCCGGAAAGTAACGCGAGAAGGACGCTGGGCGGAGAGGGGAGAAGGTAGGATCAGTTTGAAAAAGGAAAGAAAGTTGGCCAAATAAACCTAGCTATGCATACTGTGAGATCGGAGAGGGGAGTAAAAAATAATAATAATCTGCTGGAAATTCAAAACGGGGGTGGGTTCCTCCCTCAACCTCCGCCTGCCTCCCTCCGCCCCGGAATCTGCTGCAAGTGTCTCTGTAACAATCACTTTGCGCTATCGACTTAGCATAGTGTGTGCAAACGGAATGAGAAGCCCATTAAGAGCATTAACAGATTGGCCTGGCATAATACAGCAGCTCATATTGATCGCC